GCCATCGGTGACGAGGCTGACCCCCAGCGGGCAGCGCGGCGGGGACGGTGGGCACTCGCACGGCCACTTGCAGAACTGGGGGCGTGAGGACGTGTCCTCCAGCGGCTCTGGGGTGAAGGCCATGGCCGTGGGGGCTGCAGAGAGGGCCTGCGGGGGGAATGGCAGAGATGAGAGGGGCTGCCAGGCGAGGGGCAAAGCCCAGAGGGCGGCCATCACCTCCCATCTTTGTGGTGTTCAAAAGGCTCGCAGCAAATTATGTTCTTCTAGCATTATCCCCACTCGCCCGAGGATATGCTTTTAAATCGACTTTGAGAGAGAGAGAGAGAGAGAGAGAGAGAGAGAGAGAGAAACATCAATGTGCGAGAGAAACATGGATTGGTTGCCTCCCATATGTTCCCCAACCAGGGATCGAACCTGCAACCTAGGGATGTGCCCTGACCAGGGATCGAACCCACGACCCTTCAGTCCGCAGGCCCGATGCTCTAACCAACTGAGCGAACCCAGCGGCCAGGGCCGCACTTCATTCTTTGAACAACAGATGCTGAGATATCCAGGCAGATTCCGCCTCCCTTCGCTAAGGAGGGAACCGAGGCCCAAAGAGACAGAGGGACATGCCCAGGGTGACACAGTCCACGAAGGGCGAGACGCAGACTCTCTCCACTCCCATTTCTCCCCGCTCTGCCTCCTCCGGCCTCCCAGCCACGCAGTGGCGTTTGCACAGCGAGTCCTCAGTCTCCCTTAAGCATTAGGCATTCGAAGAGGAATCTGAAAAATTCCTGCCCCTAAGGGACCCACAGCTCAGAGGAGAGGCCGACAGGAAGGGCGATGTGTTACAACGCGAGGCCAGGTGCGGGGTGCTGGGCCTCCCTGGGGAGCCCCGAAGCTCCCGGACACTCCGTGGGACTGTCTGCCTGGTGAATGAGCCACCCTGCGCGCTTGGCTCCCGGGCCCAGAGGCCCGGAGAGATGGTCTACACTGAGGTGCGGGTCGGCTGGGCTCATTTTCGGGGCCTGGCACATCGTAAGTTCAGTAAATATTGATTCAACAGGCACAGGGCCCTTGACAGTCCAAAAGACAAGCCTTGATTTGAGGGTGGGCCCCCTCCAGGCGTGGACTCAGGCAGGCTTGCTGGCGGGAGCAAACTGCCCCGGGGGTTGGCGATGTCGGCCCGTGGTCACCTGGGAGGCAGGTGTTTGCCTGCGCCTGTTTGCTTTTCCTCAAAAGCACAGCATGACCTCAAACCTCAAATCATTAAAAGCAACCACAGCCCGGCCGGCGTGGCTCAGTGGCTGAGCGTGGACCTATGAACCAGGAGGTCGCAGTTCGATTCCTGGTTGGGGCACATGCCCGGATTGTGGGCTCCTCGATTCCCAGTGTGGGGCGAGCAGGAGGCAGCCGATCCATGATTCTCTCTCATCAAGGATGTTTCCATCTCTTTCCCTCTCCCTTCCTCTCTGAAATAAAAATATTTTAAAAAAAGATGCCCAGAAGGAAGCAGCAGAGAAGACCCCTGGACTGAGACAAGCGGTTAAGGGTCCCCCTGGCCCCATGGAGGGATGGGTTGGGCCCTCTGAGCCAGGCCCTTGCTGTTGGCGCCATCTAGTGGTGCAAAACCTCCCAGCTCTCACATGCATAGGCGCACACACACAGGACATCAGCCCTTGGAAGTCCAGGGGGCGTGGCAGGTCCCCCTGCCCTTCGCCTTGGTACATGGACCATTGCCATAAAAACTGGACTCTCCTTGTTCACCCTAAAAGCAGCAGGAGAAGCATCTTGGCCGGAGAACAAAGACAAGAGGCCCCAGCCCCTCTGCTCATTGATTCCCCGAAGTCAGCCAGATCCCAAGGCCCCGGCTCGCTGGCCCTTCCCGTACCGAGGCCAGCAGCAGCACCGCCCTCGGCGTGGGGGCAGGAGGCCCTGTTGTAGCGCGCACCTGTGCTGACCTGGAGCGGGTGGCCCGGGGCCCTTGGGGAGTGTGTCCCCGGTCACCCCAGCACCCCGCATTTGTCCTGCGGAAATGTAAGACTCAGGTCAGAGCCGCGGCTCCGCAGGTCACCCCACGATGCCACCCTGACCTCTGCTCCCTGACCGGCTGCTTTAGGGTTGCGCCCCCGCCGGTGGTGCCTGCATGGAAGGGCACAGCCACAGCTCGGGCCTCTGCCGCGCCCCATCTCCACGGACAACAAGAATGAATTCCCGTGATTCCCTGCTTTTAAGCGAAAAGCAATACACCTGTTCTTGTTTAAGAACTAGGTACCTCGCCCGGCCGGCGTGGCTCAGTGGTTGAGTGTCAACCTATGAACCAGGAGGTCACGGTTGGATTCCCGGTCAGAGCACATGCCCGGGTAGTGGGCTTCATCCCCAGTGTGGGGCGTCCAGGAGGCAGCCGATCCATGAGTCTCTCTCATCATTGATGTTTCTCTCTCTCTCCCTCTCCCTTCCCCCACTGAAATCAATAAAAATATATTTAAAAAAGAAAAGGAAATAGGTACTTTGGCAAAACCCATAAGGCCAGAGGCTCCCTTGGGTGGGCGGTGACACGGGAAGTTCTGGAGGAAACTCGGGGTCGCCAGCAGCAACAGAGGAGGCGGCCGGGCGTCTACCCAGAGGCTCCCTTCCCCAGCATCTCCAAACGGGTCTCCCCCGGGGAGGGAGGCACAGTGCAGGGTCACAGACGTCTGCCCAGGGGTGCGGGATCGGCCCAAGCTACCGGGGGTCCCCAGAAAAGGACACAGAGCCTCGGGGAGGGCTTTTAAGGAGCGAGTTGCTCTTTCTGGCCCTTCAGTGCCCAGCACTGCGCCTGGCACGCCCTGGGCAAGCTCTCCCAGAACAGCAGGGGAGGCCAGCACTTGGCTTGCCCCAGTAGGGGAGGCCGTACCCCAATTCTCCACAAGGGGGCAGCATTGAGACAGAAACTGCCCCAGCCACCCAATGGGGCCTGGGGGCTTTAGGAAAGGGCTGCCCTGTCTGGAAGCGGGGTGAGTTCACCCCTTTCCTGAAATGAGGGGCCCTGGGCAAAGGGGGGACTGTGACCCACCCACTCAATTCCCTGCTTCCTTCTCACTTTCCTGGTGGAACCAACTGGGGCAGCCACAGTATGAGAGGGTAGGCACCCCACCCAACACCTCTCTACTGAGCACCCCCTGGGTGAGGCCCTGGGACCTCTGCCCTGGTACCGGGGGGGGGGGTGCCCTCAGGTGCCCAGCAATGAGCTAGCTCCCCTGGTCCTCTAGCGTCCTCTACTGTTCTGCCCGATGGGTGGGGCTGCGCCTCCTCTCCCTCAGCCCACCCCTTCCCCTCCCCCTCCAGCCCTGGGCAGGCTCCCAGCCTTCCCTCACTCCTAGACTCCACACGGGGATTCCCAGAGAGCCAGGGGGACCCGCCCTCCCTCTCCTCTGGGCCTGCCTCTCATTTTCTCCCACTTCCCCCTCCACCCACACTCACCC